GTGGTACCTATTGAGTTCCGATTAATACGAACGTCGTATGTCATGTCGTGGTCAGCCAACAATTGCTGTAAAATCAATTAAACCGTTGAGGGTATGCAATGAGATTAAACGGAAACAAGCGTACCTAAGTTAGAAGTAAATATATAAACAAGCACTTATAACATAAGTAATCAAATAATTTTTCAGAAGTGGAAGCTCAGGAAAAAGTACAATTTATGGTTAAAAAGTCTTAAAATGTGACCAACGCTATTATGCAAGGAATCGCATAGGTATATCCACTTTCAGAAAGCACCTGTTAAAGACATAAATCTTCGAAGGATTTAAAATGTAACGAGTGTCCTTACGCAAATTTGAGATCATGTCTGTTCACACACGTCTTCTTGGGGATATTAAATACAATCTGTTCAATTACGCGACCAATAAAATCACTCTTTTCAAACTTCTAAGGGTATTAAGTGCGAACGGGGCAATTAGGCGACCAGAAGTTGCGCTCATTAATTCACAACAAACTTATTAACCAGATTTCCCAAGTTTTGAATGTGTCCAGTGCGATTATACAGTAGTGGTATAGTAGTCTGTAATTACATATACATATAATATACAATATTTTATTAATTTTGACCTTTTCTACGTAATTCGCTACAAAAAATAGTGTACCTAACTCATTTGGAAAAAACATTTCCGCATTCGCACTAAAACAAAGTACTCATGCGGGAAAATTATCTTACCAAACTTCTTAGGTAAATAACTATTCCGCACCTCATGCACGCACGTTGGGCGATAATCGAATGACTTCCAGAAAATAAAAAAAAAACGTAATCAAGGACCAAGTTTGGGGAAAAATCAAAAAGTAACGGAAACGGAAATAAAAAAAAGACAGGCCGCAAAATCAGTAAAACAAACGATAGAGATACAAAGACAACCAAAGATGCAACACAGAAAGCGGGGTGCGTGTGTATTAATTTGTAGGGTAGGCAAAGGATAAGAGGAAGAAAAGAAATACGAATAAAGGATGGAAACGAAAAAATTATATAAGAAAAATAGAAAATTTTGAAATTATTTATTTAAAAAAATAATAGAATAATTCAAAAGAGTACGCCACTGGTATAAATACAACCATAAACCATAAATACAACAAACAAAGGCCTCAAGAAAGTTCCTAGTTATAAAACCAAATATAAACTTTACGCGAAGTTTTAAAACCCTACGATTGACGCTTTTTACCGAGTTTTTTACCCTTTTGAAAAGTTTCTACTTACTGATTGGTCTGTAAATTGCAGGGTAAATTGCTCTGTGAGTAGATGCACTAGTTTATAATAGTTTGTTTGACGACAATGATATAGTTTATACTATGATAGCTGGAATATTTAAAGAAAGAATAGAGGCGCCAAAACAAATTAACAATATTGAAAGAGGAAAGGAACAAATTCAATAAGCATCCAACACAATGTATTACCATTATTACTGTAAAAAATTAAAAACGCTAAAACATAATTTGTCAACAAAATACAAAATCTGAACGAAAAAGTCAAAAATAAAATTATCGTTAAAAAAGTACAATATTAATATTGAAAGATCGCAACACTTTTTCAACGAAAATTTTATTTTTGGCTTTTAAGTTCAGATTGTGTTCTGTTCAAGAATAGTGTTTTTTTAAGTTTTTTTAAATTTTTTTATTTTTGCCAGTTTAGTATTTTACATTCTGTCACTAAAATTGCAAAAAGGATTTGATAACAAAATATATCCATTTTATTTCTCGTTCGTGGCTGTAGATGCTACAGGAGGATGAATCTACGAGTGTTCCCGAGCTATCTTGAGCGAGCACAATATGAGTGACTGACACGCACACGCGCACACACAAACAAACAAGAAGGCGACCATAGAAAAGTGATTTATAAAACGTGGAGGTTGAGAGTCAAGGTGACCACCGACGTTCGAGTGCAGGAGGTATGGGATACCGTAAGACTAACCTGGAAAATTTGAACGGCACAATCCAATACGCACCAAGTGCAATAAATAATGATTGTCATTATTGTTTATTCCATAACTGTAAAAATTTTAACGTGGGGGTAGGATTCAAGTTAGTTCCCTAGGTTAGAGTGCAGGTACTATATCGTGTTCCCCACGTCTATTTTCGAAATTTTACCAGCACAATCCTATTTGAATCATGTACAATTCAGTGTCATTATTACTGATTACATACAGGGTCGCTGATAACTCTGGAAACGGTGGTTTATCGGGGAAAATATACAATGTATCAAAAAAAGTGTTATACAGAAGATTTGAGGTTCTTTACTATGCAGTAGTAATTTTAATTATACAGGGTTGGTCATCAAGGCGTGGCACACCAATATTGCATTTTTTAAATGGAACACCTTGTATATTATTCGATATTTCAATTATTCTCTCAATTTTGAGCATAATTTGTTAGAGGTATAATGTACCCTTTGATTTTCAAAACTAGTAGCGCCTGAAAGATAATCTCACACAAACATACCTAGTCTCTCCGTGAGCAGCCGCCGCCGTGGTTAGGGCTATTAGTTTCCTTTTTTTGGTTTGTTTTGTCTCTTTTGATTTATTTGATGTCCTTAACCACGTTACAAATTATAAAATACAATGTTTCAATTTATGTATAATATTATTATTAAGGATCCTCAGATCCTTTATAGTTTTGTATTGTCGTCCGTCCGTCCGTCCGTCCGTCCGTGTGCGCTCTAACTCTTTTTAAAAGTGGCCGATTGTGTTGAAATTTGGTATCCGGGTACGTTGGACATTAAGAACGGACGCTATTGATTTTCAGGAAGCTGGTTCAACAGGAACAAAAGTTACACGACTTCGAGTGAATCGGGAACAGGAAAAACTGCGAACTCAATATAATAAAAATTAACATATTTCATTCCCTAGGTCATGTATCGAGTTCGAACCTGCGCTAGATTATTCCCTATGACTCTTAGATGTGTAACAATTCAATATAACTCTTCTCTGTGGTCTCGGTCAAAAGTTTTAGAGCAAAATGTACCCAAAATTATTCTTTACACATGAATTTGTAAAAGCTTTCAAACGCATTATCTTGATGCTGAAAGAGTTGATAACGTGCACGTTTGATAACCGCATGTGTGTGATTCAAAAATGTTAAATTATTTTTCTGAGGCCACATGGATTTTGATCAAAATATGTCAAAATCGTTAATTATGCACCAAGATCGTTGGGAAAAAGACTACGCGCATTATCTCAATGCCCAAGACATGAATTTGATGCATTTTTGGCGACCACGTGGATTTTGATCAAAACATGTCAAAATCGTTATTTATGCACCAAGAGCGTTGGGAAAAAGACTAAGCGCATTATCTCAATGTCCCAAGACATGAATTTTATGCATTTTTGGCGACCACGTGGATTTTGATCAAAACATGTCAAAATCGTTATTTATGCACCAAGATCATTGGGAAAAAGACTAGGCGCATTATCTCAATGCCCAAGACATGAATTTGATGAATTTTTGGCGAAAACGTGGATTTTGATCAAAACATGTCAAAATCGTTATTTATGCACCAAGATCGTTGGGAAAAAGATCAAGAGCATTATCTCAATGATCTAAACATGAATTTGATCTATTTTTATGGACCACATGGATTTTGATCAAAACATGTCAAAATCGTTATTTATGCACCAAGATCGTTGGGAAAAAAACCAAGAGCATTATCTCAAAGCCCAAGACATGAATTTGATGCATTTTTGTTAACTATAAAATGTATTTTGTAAGATTAAAATAAATTGTCGTTAAAAGTGATTGTAATACTGAGGATCCTTCGATATTTCGTTGTATCGGTTTATTTGAATCTGCATTCGTTAGCTGTTTTTTGTGTAACCTTTTCACTTTCAACAAATACAGTGAAAAATCGTGCAATCAGGTGTTACTTATTAATATGTATAATTACAACAATAACTAGTATAAGGTATCGATGTCAATAAAATATTAAGTAAAGCATTTTCCACCCCTGTTTTTTTGCACTACACATACAATTTCCATTCAACAACTTTAGTTGGTAACTTATTTCAAATAAAAATAATGAGGTGAAAAAATTGGGGTAGTTACACGGAAAAAACCGAGACAAAATTGTATTATATTATTTATGCCATTGTTTAAAACTGGGGAGCAGAAGGCAAGAAATGAATTATGCTAAATTAAAAGTTTTTGTATTTACTCACACAAATTTCATTCGAAAACGCCTAAAACACGTAACAGCTGCGTAGGTAAACGAACTACATAATTCAGACACACAACTCATAAAAGTACTCTCGTCTAACGTTATAAGTAATTAAATACATGAGTTGAAGTTTGGTAACCTATCGATTATTGGGACAGCTAAAAACAATCTAAGTACACGTAATGGGAATAATTGCGGCAATTAGAAGCATAATTTATGTCATAGGTATACATGGCTTGTGCGTGGTTTACGCCACTAAGAGTACGGTTTCCACGATTGGGTGAATTTTTTATTTTAAACGCGGATAATATAGATATAACGGGGAGCTTTTATGTAAATAGCACGACAATGACAACAAATGAATGTAAGATTGCGGCGTGTGGCCACCCTATAGTAGCAGTTGCATATAAATTACTTTCTGGAGGATACATTCGGTAGAAACGGAAGCTGCAACCCGACACGGGGAAGTGGATTTCCTTGTGTGGTGACGGCGGGCCAGCTGCGGGCGCTATCAGGTGGTCGACGGCCAGGTAGCGCACGTGGCCCCCCTTCAAGTTCGGTGTTTGAGTACGGGTAATGATCTCGCGGCACGCGTCCTAATGGTAGGCCACGTGTTGGAGCGCAGGGTGAGGCCTAGTTTTCTACCCCTTCAGTCGCATCGTGGTGTTCTGCAGGCTGCAATCGATGCGCGGCCCGAGGGGCGCGCATGTTACGGCGGGGGTAGAAGGGTTTCAGCAGCCCCAAAGCTTTCGCCCCCACCACAGTCGACGGAATATAAAAGCGTCGCGAGGGTAAGGGTGGTCTTTAAAGCCACGAGGGGTCCGTTTAGTTTAGTTTGTTGATTTCGCTCTTTCGGTGCCTGTCTTCTCCTGTCCTGTCTTCTTACTGCTCGTCCTTCTTGTTCTTCGAGTGCACGTGCGGTAGTGGGATGCGGGCTTTACTGTGAATGTTGTAACGCTCCGGATGATTGTGGAGTTTGATTTTTGGAGACCGCCAAGGTGTCGCCGACGTGGTTGTGGGTCGCGATAGCACCATGCCACGCTGCCTTATGGCTAAGAAGTGGAAGGCCTATCCGTGGCCAGACCGGTCCGATCCGCCGGAAGAAGAGGAAGAGGAAATCGACGTAGTTGGCGATTCTTCCGCCGGCTCATGCTGGGGACCTTCGAGTCCTACGGCCGGAGCAACAGCACCGAGCCCGCCACCCACTTCGCCGCACGGTACCACTCTTCTTTATAACGGTGAGGATACAAAATCGCTTACTTATAACGTATCGGCTAAAACTTAATCAAATTTCGGGCGACGATTACCGCTTAAGAGTTTCAAACGTGACGTCTCCTGCGTCAGATGGCGAAACGTAGACGATTTAATTAAAAGGGATCCTGCAGCTGCTACACTTCCACCGCTATGCATATTATCTGTCTTAATACCTTGATTTTCGAACTTTAAGCTCTACCGAATACCATTTTAAGCGCTTCCGAATTTATTTCAGTCACACATTTGCGAATAATAGCCACTAGATACAATAAAAGGGGGATGAATATTGTTTGCAGCAGTTGCTACTTAGGGCAACTCGTAGTCGAGTGGTTATTCTTAGAAGGCCGGAATATTTGCGAGTTAGTTCATTAGAAATTTACTTCCAATTTCGATTCAAAAATTACAAAGGCGCTCGAAATGTTGTGACCTTTCGCCAAAGTGCACCGATCGAATTAGTAACCCACAAAAGGTTACGGCGGTTTCCTTTTCGCGTTGATTAAATATTCAGTTCTAAATTTCCGCTTATTTTGAGATGCAGCTTTAGATACTTGTTGAGTTTGTGTAGTCCGCGCAAAAAATCTATCCTAAATATTCAACAAGCGTTGTGATCGCCAGCTTGTTGCGCTTCTGGCATATCAGATTTTAATCTAAGTCAATTTAGTTCTGCTTTAATAGTAAGCGGGTGGTCTTTTTCAGGCTATCTTCAGGAACTCTCTCCTACAAGCTACACAACTACGTTTATACAACGCAACGATCATCCAATTAACGTACAAACTCACCAGCCATCATACGCAACGTTAAGAACGGTAACCGAAAGCCAAGATCTACGTGCCGAATATAACATTTCGCCAATTCCACCGCGTGGCCGAAAATCGCTCGCGATGTGTTTCACAAGTACGGGGGCCGCCCTTTCGCTTCCACCCAAGAAAAAAGACATCTACCGGCCTTATTCGTTAGACGACAGGCCACCGCCGCCGCGTGTGCCCGCCGAAGAGGACCTGCACGCCGCCCACGCCATACTCGACCTAAGTGCATCGACCACGGTATTTCTACCGCCTCCACCACAGCCCATGCAAATCGTCGAGCACCCGCTCGCAGAACGAATGGACGTCCAAGTCTCCAGCGAGATGCGTTCGACCCCATCGCCGACAAAGATGGACTTTCAAACGAACAAAACGGTCGCCTACACCTACGAGGCGTTCTTCGTGAGCGACGGACGCTCGAAGAAACGCATCGGCATAGAGGACCCGGTCGGACTTAGTAAACCGATCGTGAATTCCGACAAGCAAAAGTACACTTGTTGCGAATGCGGTAAGCAGTACGCCACCTCGAGCAATTTATCGCGTCACAAACAGACGCACAGAAGTCTCGATTCGCAGGCGGCCAAAAAGTGCATAACCTGCGGGAAGGCGTACGTAAGCATGCCCGCTTTGGCGATGCACGTCCTCACCCATAAATTGCAGCATAAATGTGGTGTGTGCGGTAAACAGTTTTCCAGGCCGTGGCTGTTGCAAGGACATTTGCGTTCTCATACCGGCGAGAAACCCTACGGATGCGCCCATTGCGGTAAGGCCTTCGCCGACCGTTCAAATTTGCGAGCTCACATGCAGACGCATTCGGCCGATAAGAATTTCGAATGTCCGCGTTGCCACAAGTCGTTCGCATTAAAATCGTACCTCAATAAGCATTTGGAATCCGCGTGTCTCAAAGACGAATCTGGCAACGAGCACGATGAGGGTGGTGGTTCTAGGGTAGTCGAAGGTCCTCTTCCGATAAGAGTACACGCCGGTTGAGCGTTTCATTTCCTCCTAGTCAGTCTTGTAGTTGGCAGCCGTGGCACGTCCCGGCAACGTTCCAAACCTCGTCACGCCGCCTAGATTAGCTATGATTTATTCTGCGCGAACTGGAACCCCTTGTAAATATCCCTCCTAGTAAGATAACACATCGCAACACGTCCATTAAATTAGGCCATAGTTGTAAGAAACGCTACCTTTAGAACACCACACGGGAAACTAACTAACCATTGTAAATATCGTAACGCCGCCGGCCAGATTTAATCGGCACTCTCTCTTTCTAGTCTTCTTTTAAGTTAATTAAAAACGCGACATTCCAAATGTTCATTGCGAACAAAGCAACGTTTCACAAACAACGAAGTTATGCAAATAATTCCACTAGTGTTAACTTTAGAGTAAGGCCGATGAGGTACTAACGCATTTTAGTCTAGTCAAGATTTTTTCTAGTCCCGGTCACGCAGACGTCCTAGTCTCTTTATATAGTCAATTATTTTTTGGTTGTTGAAAATTTTTAGTAGGTTAGGTGTATGCTTAGACACTATATTCAAAATTGTATAGTGTAATTAAAAAGAAATGGAATACAAAGTATAGTTTCGACAGTATTTTTGCAAATATACACAAAAATTATAAAATAATATACAAATTAGAAATGCATGAGAATTCTAGAGTTAATCGAACTTTTGACGGAGTTTTTATAGATAAATTTATAGATGGGGCATGTGCAATAGGCTCGAGCGTTGAAATAGGCGAGTGTGCATCTAGTCATTAGCCAATATTTTAGCTTAGATGCCACCGATCTAACAAGAGTTTGCCGGGTGCCTTAGTCAATTTGCAACGACTATCGGCAAAAGAATACAACGAATTATAAGTACATCGAACGACCTCGAACTCTTGTTGAATGCCACAAATGTAGCATAGAATAGCTGCACGGTAGGGATGAGAACAAGTTAGGAGTAGGGGTTATTTATTTCATATACATAATAGTTTATATTAATATTTCTGGCAATTTTTCCGGGGGCGAGCGCGCGAATGCCGCAGCAGGTTGTAGGCGCGATTCAAAAAGGGTGTAGGTTTCTGCGGCACCGCGAGCTTTGCTCTCAGGATGCCGGGTATTCAAAAGCAATAAGCACAGTAGCGGGTCAAGGGATAAACCCTTCACCCGAGGAACTATAGCAATATAGATAAACGAATATTTAAGTAATAATAAATAGCCTGTAAGATCTAGAGACATCGATCGGAGAGCGCAACGGAGATGGCGTTTGATTTGAAAAAAATATACGCGAAACGAATTCAATTAAAGGATAAGTCAATAAAAGAAAATTAAACGAAACACAAACGCCGTCCCCTTGTATAGTACTATACATAGAATGCCTGCCTATTACTTATTATGATAGCAATAGCGACAGCAATAGTTATACATCTATTTATAATAAATATAATCAAAGCAATACCGTAATATACTCTATTTATCTAGTGCTAGATAGAGGAATTTAGACGAACTTAACATAAATTCAACGAAATAGCGCTCTAGCGTGATAGCACGCTTCGAGTAGCAGCCTTGCCAAAGCTTTGGAGATATTTATATCCGACAGTTGTAAAAACTCAGAACTTTGGAAAGCGCAAAGCTTGCAAAACCTGTACACTATTTGCAGTCCAGTAACTGACCACAATTATTATTATTATTCCGATTATTATTATGTAATATTATACATAGTAAGTTTTGTATTATATTTTCATAATAAATAGCATTAGAAAATCTCTCATATTATATGTTCTTTTCTTTTACATCTACGACGCCACCCTTCGACGAGAGGAAAAGTCGCTAATTAATGGAGAAGCGTAAAGGTAGGTGAAATCTCGTCCCTTAGTTTCTGAACACGCGCTGCTTAGTAGGTCAATAAGGTCTCTTGCCAGATCACTTGGTTTTATTAAAAATCAATTTCGTACGTATAACCGGGCTAGTCAGTGTAAGAAATTATTCTCCCTTTGGTAATGAGGATTGAGATTCAATGGAACTGTAATCTCGCTTTTGTTTTAACCGGTACTTTATAATTAAATATCATTTTTGCACTTATTAAGTCTTCAATTACATAGTAACCTAGTTTGCCGAAACATGATACCGTTAATTTCCCGAACTGTCCAGCAGCATTCAACATTTAATATTTTAAGCTCCTGAAGCACGCAGGAGTTTGAAGACAAGAGCGTGCTAAAGAGATAGTGCTGTGTTTGTCTTCCAGCATCCCAATAGGCGGACAAAACAGTATTAGTAGAAACTAAAGTTATTTTTTAATGCCGCTGGCGCGTCGGAGATTAACAAGATGAACGATGGCGAATTTTTAATTCGTAAATTAGCATCTTCAGCAAATTACCCAAAAAGGGATTAAACTGGAAAGGGCATCAAAGTATAGTTCTTGACTTCTTGTTCATTTTTTTTCCCCGTTTCAGAAACAAAATTTAGATTTATTGAAATTAAGATTATGCAGTTTAAAAAAAACCAGGAGTTAGTGACAGATTTTCAGAAGTGGTTTTCGAAGTATCTATGTGTTTTGGAAAAAAATATGCTATACAGTCGTTTCTAAATAAAATGTTGGTGTATGATTTTACTCAGCATGCCACGTGCTCTAACGTTCCCTCTTCCTTAAAAATAAATATATGGTGTACCAAATAAGTAAGCAAAAAAATGGAAGGTAGATGGTAATAAAACAAGCGTTATTCAAATAAGCCGACGGACCAAAATATATCTTTTAGTAGCTACAGTCCCAAAAGTATCGATTCTACTTTAATATTATTCCTCGGGAACTATAGCAGGTACAGTACTGTACTAGAACCTGAACCTTACACCCCGAAGGAGTGAAAGCATTCGTTAAATTATTGACTTATTAAGCGGCAGAGCAAAGCGATGGAAGCTTTACAGTGGAGTCGAAGGTGTTCATCTGTCCGTCCGTGACCACGCTAACTGCCAAACGCTTGGGCCGATTCGGTTCCCACTTTGCACAGATGCCACATAAAACAAGATTATTATAAATGACCCCGTAGGGTCACGGCGCTCTGCTGCTGCCTGCTATTTTAGATCTGCTTTACGCTGTTTATTACTGTACTGTTAAGTACATTTAGGTACATTATTAACGAGCTCCTAGCGAGTTTTAATTTTGCGGTGTCTGTCCGTCTGTTCATCCGTTAACACGATATCTCGATAAGGAATGGACCGATTACGATAAAATTTAGTAGATGGATTCTTTATCAAATTAGTAGATCGGAGTTCGTGAATTGGCAATAAAGCCCAAAAAATAAGGAAGACCCTTTTGACATCTCCGTGAGTTATGAACCGAATTGCATGAAATTCAATATGCGTATAGCTTTAGCCATATAAAACGCAATTCCAAAAATTGAGCCTAATCTATCAACATTCACAGTGCCCTTTTCGCATCTCGACCATTTATAAACCGAATTGCAAACTTTTTTTATTTATGAAGATATTTAAATGAAATTTGATACATAGCCACTTGGAATAAAAGCAAAAATGTAGCACCATTTTCCAAACTTGGTTTTGTGTAGGATGTGCAGTGTCAACTTTCTTATTTATGGAAGCAATTAAATGAAATTTCATACATATACACTTTAAATAAAAGCAAATCTAATATCATGTTTAAAATTGGGTTTTGCACATGCTACAGCCATACTCAGGAACTCTTTTTCTATATTTGTTTAGTTTATTGTAACTTAGTGACTACTTATTTCATTTATATTTCAAAATATATGTATAGGCCAGTCAAAATCGACAATAAATCAACAAAACATGATGTATCTCTGATTTTTTGGTATGTTGTTTGGATCCATTAGAGTAGTGTATACTCAAGTTTGCAACTCTCTAAAAGTTGTGGAAAAAGTGTAGTATACGAAAAACCGCGACATTTTAGGACTTTTTGCCGTGTTTGCGTTATATTTCCTTAACTATACATTTTTCGACGAAAGTCACTATATACGTTTTTGAAGAGTATTAAATGTATAATAATTTGCGCCTAACCCGAGCTCTGTAGGTCAATTAGTTACCGAATTACGGCACTTTGAAGATAGTCATTTTTTTCCAAAAAGTGAACATTTGAGTTTTACACCTTCTTTAGATCGAAATTGCGGCTAAACTATTGATCCTACGAGTAGAACTTATAAAATAGACAGTTGTAGATAATTTAATTAGCTTTAAGTTAAGCGTAAAGTGGGGTCTGCAGGTCTCGTAGTTCTCTCTAAATCTCAAAAAAACCGATATAAGGTAAAATCGCATTCCATACCTGCTTTCAGGCAAGTGCAGCCACCTCTGCATCCCTTTTTGCATTTGCAAGAAAGCAGTTTCAGGAGGTCTGGGAGGGCAGGGGGTTACCGTCTGGTAATGGGAATGAGTCCAGCCGAGTTCAATTCCCAACCCCATTCGGTGGCCTGAGCATTGTCCTGGAGACCACGTTTTACACTGATGGCAACGAGTGAGTGGATACCACGTTTTTGAACAACTATCACTGATTCGTCCTCAAGTGGATATCGACATATAAAACAAGAGCCGGGAGGTACTGGCATTGTTGGAACCTATTCACAACACGATACTTGGTGTTCCAAAAACGTACAAATTGAAACACGAATTACTCACAACGGAGGAACAAATACTGTGTGCTCAGGAAGAAACTAAGAAAGCGAGGGAACGAGAGAGGGTTTCATATACGATTAACGATACGAAACATGGCATTAACAATTCATCATGAAGTCTGAAAATCTGTAAATACTTTAGCGCGCGCGGTGTAATAACGTTCCCGAGCCCCAGCCAACCTCTTCTTTATTGTTTTTCTGTTTTAAAGATGTTTTTCTTTCGCCTCTTTAAAAAAGTATTTTTAAGGCTCACTAATTTTAATCTATATATAGGTATAGGTATCTTAACTGAGTAATAAACAGCCCTGTTAGTGAGCATGTTTTTGGCTCATAAAGATGATCCTTATGTTATTGTTAGCATACTTGTCGCGAAGCTGTCATAAATTATGCGTGGTCTTACCAAGACTCGAAAAAAGTCATTTTTAGTGATGAATCTCGATTTGATATCAGTGTAGGCGATAATCGAGAAAGAGTCATCAGAACGGAAAACAAAGCATATCACAAAGATTGCTTAAAGTGGTCTGTAAAATTCCCCAGTGGTGTAACGGTGTGGGGTAGTAGGTATGTCTGCAAATGGGCTGGGACAATCGCACTTTACAAATGGTAATGTTTATGCTCAGAACTATCAAGCAATTTCAGAACAAAGTTGATGGCCTTCACTTGCGACATTTTCACCTGATACAGACTTTCTTTTTTAACAAGACGGAGCATCATGTCACAGCAAAAAACGACTAAGAAATGGTTACAAGACCATAATAATAGTGTTTTAGAGGTGCCCTCATGCAGTCCAGATTTCAATGTCATTGAGACAGTGTGACATAAAATGAAGCAACGTTTGTGTATTCATCCGCAACGCAATATTGCTTCTTTGAGTGAAAAGTTACAAGAGATTTGGGGTACCTTTGGCATCGTAATGTAAAGCTCTTGTGACGACCATGCCTGCACGAATCCAGGTTGTTATTAAAGCCAAAGGGGATGTAACTCATTATTAAGGAATGGTGTCCGAACATTTTTGTGTCACTTTAAATTCTAATTTTATGGTGTTTTGTGTTATTTGACATTTGTAGCAGTTACTAGATATGTTTAATTTATAACTATAGTAAGAAAAAAATAATAAAATAACATACAATGATTTTAAGTTACAATATTTTGAGTGTCCGAACATTTTTGTGTTAGGGCTCGTATTAGGTATGTACAATGCTATTATTGCGGCACCTTCCTACGACTTACTCAACTTTGATTTGTGCCTTAAATTAAATCTATGAAATTGTTGGATATTTAAAATTGACTCTATGCAGCAAAAAAAGTGATTTGACACATCGCTTTTTTATTTCCACACCAAAAAAACAAAAGATAAAAAGTTTGTGGAACATTTCTGGAAAAATACAAGTTTACCTTATATCGGTTTTTTTGAGATTTAGAGAGAACTACGAGACCTGCAGACCCCACTTTACGCTTAACTTAAAGCTAATTAAATTATCTACAACGTCTATTTTATAATTTCTACTCGTAGGATCAATAGTTTAGCCGCAATTTCGATCTAAAGAAGATGTAAAACTCAAATGTTCACTTTTTGGAAAAAAATGACTATCTTCAAAGTGCCGTAATTCGGTAACTAATTGACTTACAGAGCTCGGGTTGGGCGCAAATTGTTACACATTTAATACTCTTCAAAAACGTATACATTGACTAAAGTCGAAAAATGCATAGTTAAGGAAATATAACGCAAACACTCCAAAAATTCCGAAAATTTCGCGGTTTTTCGTATACTACACTTTTTCCACAACTTTTAGAGAGTTGCAAACTTCAGTATACACTACTCTAATGGGTCCAAACAACATACCAAAAAATCAGAGATACATCATGTTTTGCGAATTTAGCGATTTTTTGTGTCGATTTTGACTGGCCTAAATATAAAATAAGTAAAATAATAAATACTAAATGAGCATTATTAATTAACCTATTCGCGCCGTAGTGTAATTGTATACCGTACCACACTACAAATATACTCAATAATTGTTGCTGTAATATCATTACTACAAAGTTCTTAAGACCAGAATTTATTTTTTTTTCTGCTACCGGTATTTCTGATAAGATGAGTCTATACAAAATTTGTATGTCATATAAG